TAGTTTTACAGACATTAGGTGCCCTCTGGCCCAGTGACCCGGGCAGAGATGGCCTTTCGAAGGGTTGCAGTCAGCCTTTGAAAAATGATGGCCCCTGTGTCATCAGTTACTCCGGCGGCTGTTTCGAGGTGACTCGGAGATAGGAGACGCAGGGCAGTGTGGTCAGGCTGTGCCCACGCCCACCTGGGTGAAAGGTGGAGGTGAGGGCGTGTGCCTTGCTGCCAGTGTAGGTGGTGGCAGTTCCTGCAAGGGTGCTGTGGGGCAGGGGACGCAGTGACCAACCAGGCAGCCTTGAACTCCTGTGGTTGTTAAAGCAGGTGGACTTAGGTATTTCCGAGTTGACGCTGTGGATGAGGGCAGAGGCAGCAGACTTGCCAACCTTCGCCCTTCCTGCTTTGATTTGTCTCCGTGTGGGCTACGGGGCCTGGTGGAGCCTCTGCTGGTCCTCGATTGTGCATGTGTGGGGCTGACGGGGGAGGTGTGTGTGCTTCCTGGAAGGTGGGCTCTGGGGGCATTTGAAGGGTCCAGAGCTTGGAAAAGTGCTCTCCAGGTGTGAGAGTTAGCACCGACTGCTGTGGAGAGGTGTTTTATTTCATCAAATATATTTTAAGAGATTATTAGAGAAGATGACAAACACAAGAAGAGAGACCAGCATAATGGACCCCCATATGGCCACCAACGTCACCAGTTCTTACACACGGCCACTTTATACCTGTGGCCATCAATGCCTTTCACCCCCAGTGATTTTGAAGCAAATCCCAGACATGATACAAGATAAAAGTGCATGGGTAAATATTTCAGTATGTAACACTAAAAGTTAGCAGCTACAATGTGCGTGTGACTACAATATTGACCAACACCTGAAACTATTTAACAGTCATTCCCTTAATACCACGAGGTAGAGGTGTTGGAAGGTGTCCTGAGTGGAGCACTAGGGTGAACACATGAGGGGACAAAGGATGAGTGACACATCCACCTGCCCAGTCACCTGAATTATATGTTTTAGGAGGGTTTAGGTGCATAAATGTTAAATGGATGACGCTTCAATTTCATGAGGCAGTGTTTTGTTTTGTTTTCTTAAAATAACAGTGTTATTGTGATATAATTCTCATCCGTACAATCCACCCATCGAAAGCCTACACGTCGGTGGTTCTTAGTATAGTCCCAGGCACGTGCACACATCACCACATTCAGTTTCAGAACATTTTCATCACCCCAAAAAGAAACCCGCCCTGTTCTTAGCTGTCACCCCCAGCCCCTCCCGCCCTAGGCAACTATTCCTCTGCTTTCTGTGTCTGTTGGATTTGCCTGTTCTGGGCATTTAGCATACACTACGTGGGCTTTCGTATTTGGCTTCTTTCACTTAAGCGTAACGGTTTCTGGGTTCACCTGTGTTGTAGCGTATGTCTGTGCTTTGTTCCTTTTTATGGCCAAATAGCCGTCTGTTAGTGGATGGACTGCATTTTGTTTACCCATTCATCAACAAAAGGATATTTGAGTTTTACCACTTTTTGGTTATGATGAGTAATGCCAGTGTGGACATCCAAGTATGTGGGTTTTTTTGTTTGTTTGTTTTTAAAGATTTTATTGGGGGCATTGGGGGAGGGGAACAGCGCTGGGGAATTGGGGAAGGGGAACAGACAAGTTGTCTGTTATTTTGTTCTTCAGTCTAGTTGTGGAGGATGTCGCTTCACTGGCCCATGTTGGTATTAGGATCATTGCGCTCTTCCCGGGTGAGGCAGTCTCCAGCCATTAGATGGCCGCTCATCCTGGCTGCCGGCCACTCACGGTAGCTTATGGCAACCCACTGCATCAGGGGCTGCAGCCTACACCGTCGCCGGCGACGCATGGCAGCCCAGCTCCAGGTCGAGCTGTTGTTCACCATCTTAGCTGTAGGGGGCACAGCGTCACTGTCCCATGTGGGATCCGAACCGGCGGCTCTGCTGCTCAGAGCTTGCACTCCCAAGCCAACTCTTAACCAATGCGCCACTCTGCTGGCCCCAAGTTTTTGTGTGCACATGTTTTTAGTTCTCCTGGGAGTGGAATTGCTGGGCCACGTGGTAACTGTTTTGAGGAATAGCCGGGCTGTTTTCCAAAGTGGTTGTGCCATTTTACATCCCCTCCAGCATGAGGGTTCCCAGTCTGTTCACCTCCTTCCTCGCCAGCGCCTCTCACCTGTCTTTTTGGTTAGCCATCCCGGTCTGGAGTGAGAGTGGCATTTTGCTGTGGTTTTGATTTGCATTTCCCTGATGGCTGCAGTAGGCGGTATTCCGATTATAAATGTTTTTAAGGACTCACGAGGCTGTGGATACCAGGACTAAGGGTGGAATTTCCACTCATTCGATTGGTGAAGGGAGCTTTCCAAGCTGCTGTCGGTGGCCAGTGCACTAAATCCTGCATATGGCTCAGGGCAGCCATCCTGGCTACGGCCAAACGAGAGAAACAGATTGTCCCTTTTGGGGGCAGTTAAGACTCTTATGTGTGGTTTTTAGTCTGAACCAATCAAAGCAAGCAAAGCCTTAGTTCAATTCAGAGAGTTCGCACAAGGCCATTGGAAAGGAGATTGCAGACGTTCTCTGTGTGTCTGCCCCTCCCCAGCAGAGGTTAGATTACTGAACAAACTAGGGACTGAATTGGCGACAAGCACTAGATTTAATCTACACCATTAGTAATCCCTTCATGTTCTATATAAAGCCCGTGAGAGATCTCATAGACCGTTGCAAAGGTAGCCAGACGCGTAATTTTATTTGCTGAGGTGCACGCTGTGCAGAATCCTGCCTCTCCCGTCCTCCCCAAGGCCTTGCTATGGGGGTGGGGGGCTGAGTTAGCCTTGGAGAATCTTAGAGCCACTTGCATACTTTTCGAGAAATGGATCCAAGCTGTTGGTGGGTGCCCTATTCAACATTCTGAATGTATCTGCAATATACATTTGCTTAGAGAGCTTGTGGCTTTCAAGCATGGGGTCCATTCCTTCAAACTTGGCCAGGCTATGGCAGCTTGCTCCATGCCTGCTAACTAGCATGCGAACATTCTGGAATGGTTACAGATTGCACTAAGCTAAGGTTGTACTGTTTTTTTCCAGAATCCCCAAAGCGGAGCTTTCAGGTTCTGTGAGCGGCCCGTTCCCAGGGGTGCCCATCCCAGCCTCTCCTTCTGCCCCTGGTGACAGCAGATGTGGTGGGTCCACATGTGAACTCTCCGCTGCCAGCCCCTAGCCTGTCCCGTGTCAGGGAACGGCTCTGCTGAGCAGGTGGTTCAAACCGGAAGCCCCAGAGTGCTTCTGACGCCTGTCCAGAGTGGGCTGTCCTCCCTGTCCCCACCATCTCCACTCAGGACCACTCTCTCTTGGGACACTGCCTCAACTGCTTCCCGGTCTTGCTTTCTTACCCACCCAAGCTCTATATGGCAGCCAGGGTGGTCCTTAGAGCAGAACAGGAGTAGACACTCTGCCTTCAAGCCCACGATGCTTTTCCATAGCCCTTAGCGTAAAACCCAGCTGCCTCCCACGGCTGCCTCTGGGCCTTGCTTTCTGACCCAGCTGCCCTGCGCTTGACTCCAGCCGTCTTTCTGTTGGACCCAGCCACCCTACCCTTGCTGTTCACCTTGAGTCCTTGCACAGGTCTCCCTTTGGGCCAGAAAGTTCTGCCCTCTGGCCGATCCTTCTCCTGGGCATCAGGGGTCCCCTGGTAGGTTCCCTCCAGCATCCCCTGTCCTTTCTGCCTCCTTGTGTGAGCTGAGGGAGGGCAGGGGGACCTCTTTTGCCAGCGTCTCGATCCCCTCACGGCTGGTACATAGGAGGCAGTCAACAAATACTTGTTGCATGAACAAATGAATGAAAGTTGGTTGCCTTTCCAGGGCCTGCTCATGGAGTCATTTGTTCTGACTAGCTGAAGACCAGGCTAGTCTGACTTCTGTAAACTGGGTGTCGGTTTCTTGTGATAGGTCCTGCCTCTGTACCCAATGGGCGAAAATGGGTGAAAACAGGAAAAATTGCGAGTGACGAGAAAACACACACGTGCAAGTTCAGATTTTTATTATGGCTCTTGTTAGGTTTTTTCTCTCTTAGCTGCCTTTTTATCCATGTGGCGCTCAGTGAAAATGGGTTAGGAAGAGAAGGTGCCATCACTTGCTGTCAGTAGGTGGCAGAGGGGCCAGTTGGGAGAGAGGGAAGAGGTGGCATGTGTCAGGAGTCAGGCAAGCAAGGACAACGGGAAACGAAGGACATACTGTAGGTTCCGAGGCAGCTGGAATGAAATGTACTCGCCGTTGCTGGGTGTGTGTGTGTGTGTGTGTGTGTGTGTGTGTGTGTGTGTGTGTGTGTGTGTGTGTGTGTGGTAGCTAGCCCAGGGGGCTGTGCTTTGGGGGGGGGGTGTAAATGCTCCAGGGATGTCCCACCCCGTGTGTTGAGTTTGATTTTAGTCACAGCCTCAGAGGAGGAAGGCCCAGCTCCATCCTGAGGAGTCTGTGCCTGGTTTTCAGAGCCTCCGAATGTGCCTAACATGGTTTCTCAAGACACCAACCACTCATTCGCATTTGGTGTCAGTGGTCAGTCCTGTTCCTGTCTGAAGGGTTCAGGGCCCTTGTGTACTCATTTGTGGCCTCCAGGGGACTGGTGGCAGGAATGGGATTTGCCTTGGCAAGTTGCTAAACAGCCGCCAGCTTCCTGTGTCAGCTGGACGTGGGCTGGGCTGCTGGCCTGGTGGGCGGGCCAGGGCCAGGGGTCAGAGGGTAAGGCTTTTTTCCCCTAGTGCCTGGAGGCCAGGCCAGGGGTGACGGGTTTCACTCCTGGGCTCTGCCGATGACCCAGGGCCTCTGATTGTCTGTATAGCATAGTGCTGGACGGGGTGACGGGTAATCACAAAACTGGATCTGTTAATGAAAAATGTGGAATCTGCCCAATGGGATGGAAATACTTAAATTTGGAACAAATTGCACATCTAAAACAGGAAACTACCCAGCAGAATGTTCCATGGCGTTACATTGCCCTCTTCTCTGTCCAGGAGATCGCTGAAGATGGCAGAAGCTCACCAAGCCGTGGCCTTCCAGTTCACGGTCACTCCAGATGGGATCGACCTGCGGCTGAGCCATGAGGCCCTTAAGCAAATCTATCTGTCTGGACTTCATTCCTGGAAAAAGAAGTTTATCAGATTCAAGGTTCTCAGAAACTTGTTTAAATCTGTGCAGTATTCACTTTTACACCTTGAGCTTTGTTCCCTGGGTGCTTTTCAAGCATAAGTATTTCAGAGTGGTAATTGGCACACACTTTATGTTTTCATGGTACTTCAGGCTTAGGACACACTTTCATACGTGGCTCGCTGAGTTCTTAAAGAAATTCCGGAAGGGGCCTAGGGCGAGTCATTCATTATCTTGTCGAGCAGGTGAGGGAGTCCGGGCTCAGGGTGAGTGGGCTGCTCGGTAGGAGAAAAGTTAAGACTAGAATCCATGTCTCCTGCTCCGAGTCCAGAACCCTACACACCTTCTAGAAAAAGGATTGTTTTGCAGCTGTGTGAAACTGCAGCGAGTTTATGTAACCGGCATCTCACTGATACAATATTCAAACACTGACAAATAATGCACGTAAACTCAAGTGCAGTTAACGTCACAGCTTCTCAGTTCGGTTTACCTGAAAGAGAGGACGTTTGTTCACTGTTTCAAGCACATGCCTCATTTTACACATCACAGAAGGAATAAGTAAGTGCCATGTTTAAAAACATTGCAACAAGATGAAAGTGTAGCAGCATGAACGCCCCGCCCCTCTCCTAGGGGCCGCCCATACAATAGGTGGTGTTTTAATTCTCCAGGTTTCCTTTTTAGAGGGGAGCCCATAGGAAGGCTGCTGAGAAAGGCCCAGGAGCTGGAGTAGGTGAGAGCAGTGACAGTGGAGGTGGGTGGTCCCTGGGAACTGGCCTTGGCTGGAGAGGTGTCCCTGGGCTCAGCCGGTAGGTTCTGGGGGTCACATCCCATCGGTTGCCTGGCACCATCCAGCGTGATCCACCGGAAGCGGAGGAGGGCGCCACCTACAGGGGGAAGCGAGGTTTGCCCTCCTGGCCTTGCTGACAGCGCTCCTTGTTACCTTCAAATGGAGGAAGATAAAACGAAAGGGGGGCATCATTTCAACACAGTGCAAATGTTCTCTGATTTCAAAGACCTTGTGGTACAGCTGAGAAAACAAGGCTATAATAGGTATGAAAACATGATACAAAAACAATGCACGGCCGTGCCCGGCCACGGGGTTGAGAGAACCACCTCATTGCTCAGAGGAAGAGAGGTGGCTGGGGGGGGGGGGTTGGTGAGTGGCAGGCACTTTATCTAGAACTCTCCTTCCTCCATTTTAACTTAATTTTACGTGTTTATGTATTTATTTTAAAAGGACATTTTTTTTTTGCTTCAGAGAACACCAGAAGGAACCTCCCCTCCCCCCTTCCCTTTGTTTAAAACCTGTTCCCTTTCGACAGTAGGGAATCTAATAGAAATAACATGCAGGGGTGTACGTATCTTCTGAAGCATTCAGATAAAGCTTTGAGAGGTTTTAATCCACTGTCTTGGTCAAATCCATCTCTTACTCCGATGGCTTTTGTAAGAATTTTTTTTTAATTGGAGGCTTTGGAACATACACATAAGTAGAGAGAGGAAAGCGCTGTACTGCTCTTTTCCCAGTTTCTGTCACGGTCAACATTTTGCCAATTTTGGTTCCTATGCCTCCTGCTACTTTTTGGTTTTGTTTTTTTAGGGGTGTGGGGGTTTTGGCTGAAGTCTTATAGCAAATTTTCGAACTGGAGTAAGGTCTCCCATAAATACTTTGGGGTTAAACGGTGTCTCAATTCGGGAGGGATGGTTTTGGAGTCGGGGACGGGTCTCGGGCATCCCAGGGACAGTGGATTTGGGAGAGGACTTCCGGGTTGGCTGAGTGATGTCCTTAGCCCACGGGTGTCATGAGTGAGTCTGGGTGGATCTCAGGAATCTGTATGTTACACTAGTCCCCAGGGTGATTCTAATGTCCTGGGACCACTCAGGGGTCGGGAGCGAGGCTTTTGGATCAGAAGTAGAGGAAGGGAAGGAGCTGGACAGAAGTTGGAGCAGCTGCAGGTGGAGGCCCCGGGGGAGATTTCCAGTAGTGACAGCGTGGTCCCTTAGCGGCCCGAGTGCTGCAAACACCCGCCTCCCTCTGCCTGGCATCCCGCCCCCACTGTCATCCCCATCAGCAGAGGCCGCGTGATTTTGTGGGTGGGACGTTCTCACACACGGCATGTCTGTTTTCAGAATGGCATCATCACTGGCGTGTACCCCGCGAGCCCCTCCAGCTGGCTCATCGTGGTGGTGGGCGTGATCTCAACGATGTACGCCAAGATCGACCCCTCGCTGGGGATAATTGCAAAAATCAGTCGGACCCTCGACAAGACGTAAGTCATCCTTTCAGATCTCAAATCGTCTAGGAAGCGACCGTCGGGTTTGTTGTTGTTGCTGCTGCTGCTGCTGTTTTTATGTCTTCAAATATGACTGTTGCTGTTCTAGATTCAATGTGAAGCTTTTGCCGCAGTTCTCAGGTAGACTTTTTCCCTGTGTCCTGGTCGGGCAGTCGCCTTGAACATTTCAGGTCTCTTACGCGAGAAACAATCGTCCGCACGTCCTCGTCCGGTAATCGGGCTGTGTTTCTCGGGGCAGGGGTTGCGGGCAGAAGTTAGAGTCCTTGCGGGATGAGATGCAGCCCGGGTGTGTCCACACAGACCCCGGGCCATGTCTGCGGCATTGGGGTCTGACGCTAAACAGATGGGCTCTGGGCCTTTTTAATAAACCAGCACGTTGCTGGTTGTTTGGATTTAAATATTGTTCCCTGAGAAGCCCCCAGACTCATGGGAGTCCCTGAGAGTGCAGCCGAGTAAAAGCTCCCTGTCATTTCAGTGGAAGCCTGCAAATGCCTTGGTCTGCCTGGGGGCCGGGGCAGCTGGGGCAGGGACCTTGTCACTCTTAGCCTCTCTCCTCTCATCCTTTAGTTCCCAAGCGGCACAGGCCCACCCCCTGCGGACAGTTCGACCCACACATTGTGCTGTTCCTACCTGCTTTTCAGACAGTTGTGGGCTTAACAAAGATGATTATTTACTTTTGAGTATGGGCTGTCTCTTTTTGGATTATATTTAGAAGTGTTGGCTATTTAAAGCCCTTTTAATCTGGATCTTTATAAGATTTGTGTCTTTGTCCCTCTAAGCCAATTGGGGTAACTGGGCCATCCCTGTCCCACATGGAGAAAGACCAGCTTACGGGCCAGTGTCACCCAGGCTCAAGGACCATTCTGGAACTCTGTTTCTGGAGGGATCTCCCACATCCCTAGGTGCTGTGTTCACAGGTGCAGGTGACCAAGTGCTCTGTGTTAGTCCCTCTCCTGTAGCCTTGGAAGGATGTGTTCTTCACAAGAAGCTTTTTGGCTCATGCTTGTTATCAAAATACTATATGTGTATATGTAAAAAATCCTGAATGTGTCATTGATTTTTTAATGCTCGAATAATCCCTGATCTCTGTGAATTGAGTAAGTAGGTACGTCTTTTTCCTTTGGCAGGGTGGCACTTAGACATCTGAACTGTAGAGCATCTGAAAGATAGGTTCTTAAATCTTTACATCCACGTTTGCTTGTAGATGAGACTTTCAGAAAAAAAGGTTTCGAGTAGAGATGACAGTTAAACTTGAGCCTAAGATTGGACAGGTTCTAGAAAGATGCAAGGTTTGAAGCAAAAGCGTTTTACTTTGAAGATACGTGTTTCTATGTCACTTAAGTATTCGAAAATGTTAAATTGGTGGTTTCCAAATATTGGAGATACCTTCAGGTTGTGTACTGGTTTGCTCTAGTAATTTGAAGCACGCTTCGTTGTTATTTTGTAAATATTTTGTGGTTTCCAAAACGGCTAAAACTGCAAGCAAACACAGCAAAGACCTGTGAATAGCTGCATTTCTTCTCATTTCTGAAGGCTCATCTTTGCCATGAAAGAATCACTTTCCTTAGCAAAGGAAAACATATCCTGTCTTTATTATTTAAATGGTCATTTTGTTCGATCAGTTTCTTTGTGTATGCATGGTAAATAATCCTGCCTACATCAAAAACAAGCTCTGTTGATATTCACAGTTGAGGTGTAATAGCTTTGCCAAAGGACCTGAATTTCTTATGAGTAACAGTGGACTCCAAAGATCTGTTCGAGAAAAAAACACCATCGGGAGCAGGACAGGAAGGGCCTGGAACTCCTGTGAGCGCCCAGCTGAGATGACGCAGGTCCACTGGGGGGCATAGTTGTCATGGGGGCAGTCCACAGCCTCACATCACCTCTGTCATCGTCCCTAGACCCTGGAGGAAATTGTGCATCTCCGTTGCCCCCCATCCTGCAAGTTAGCCTGGGTTCATTTTGAGGACTGCCAAAGCCGATGGGGCTGATTCGTTTGAAAGTGGGGAGAAAGATGCCTGAGTCTCGACAGTTGGAGTAATATGCGTGTCCTCTCTCTGATCAGGCCCGACTCTGATTCCTGGTCCAGGGTCCGCGGTCTCCTTAGGGTCCACGGAAGGCCGCTGTAGCGCGTGACGCATGGCGGTGTCTCGCGGAGCTGTCGCCCCCCCCCCCGCCCCCCCCAGCCTGTCTTGCTCGCTAACGTATTCGCGGCTTGTCTCGTCTTGTCCCGGTAGTGGCTACATGTCCAGCCAGACCAAGAACGTGGTCAGCGGCGTCCTCTTCGGCACGGGCCTGTGGGTGTCCCTCATCGTCACGATGCGCTACTCCCTGAAGTTCCTGCTGTCCTACCACGGCTGGATGTTTGCCGAGCACGGCAAATTGAGCCGCGCCACCAAAGTCTGGATGGTAATTGAACATCACTGTCCATGCAGGGCTGGTGTGCGCATTTATGGAGGTGTGGTTGACATGCAAGAGCCGTGGCCAATGACCGTGCACAGCTTGCTGTGTCTGGAGATGCGTGCACACCCGGGGAGCCGTCACTCTCAGTGCTACTCACTTACCACCCCCCGAAGTTCCCACGTGCCCCCCGTCTCTTCTCTTTTGTGGTGGCACTTAACCTAAGGTCTACCCTCTTAGCTAACATTTAAGTCTGCCGTGTTGGTAGTCCCAGGCCCCGTGTTGGACAATAGACTCTCCCTCCCCCCCGGAACTTACTTATTCCGTGTAACTGAAGTTTTGTGCCCGTTAGGCAGCGTGCTTCCGTCTCCCCTGCCCTCGGCTGTCATCATTCTATGTGCTGTGTCTGAGTTGGACTCTTAGACTCCACAGATCAGTGAGGTCGGGAGGTATTTGTCCTTTGGTGTCTGGCTCATCTCACTTGGCCTGCTGTCTCGTGTGGGTGGCTTTCACGTTTGAAAGGAGTCCTTTATGGGACCTTCCCCCGCTTTGGCCCTTCGTTGGTGACTATGGAGGGGGCAACCTCTAGTTGTTAGACAGCATTGATTCACCACGATACATAATGTTTGGGTCAAAGAGGTTTTTTTTTTTTTTTAAGAAATTTTATTGGGGAACAGTGTGTTTTTCCAGGACCCATCAGCTCCAAGTCAATGAGTTGTCTTCAATCTAGTTGTGGAGGGCGCAGCTCACTGGCCCATGTGGGAGTCAAACCAGCAACCTTGGTGTTATGAGCCTGTGCTCTAACCACCTGAGCTAACTGGCCGCTTCAAGTTTTTTTGTTTTTTTTTTCGATGTTGATGAGTTCTGAACATCTTATATTAATGCCTGCTAGGTTTGTCATCCAAACTACCCATCCAATAAAAGCACCATCTATCCTCGTCTTTGTAGCTTTTCTAACTTGAGGTCAAGCATTACCTGGTTTCCTCGGCGGACTGATCTGACCAGGTCTTCCTGAGTCACCCGTGGCTTCCGGCATGTCCCAACTGCTCTCCTTGGCCCTCGGCTCAAGTGTCACTCCTTTACCGTGTGTGTGAATGTCTGTCCCAATCTCAGCGTGTGCTCGCTCCATCTGAGAGCTGATTGCCACCTGCCGGGGGCCCGTCTGTGAGAGAAGGCTGAGAGCCACGGCGGTGCCACCCCCATGCACAAGCGTACTGCGTACCCCCGCCCTTCACTCTTTCCCAAACTGAGTTACGCTGATTGCTTGGGTTAAGTTTTCTGATTTCCAGAGAAGCAAAATTTAACACCCAAAAGAGCTTCAGAGATGGTGGCCCGCATTTTACAAAACAAGTTAAATGACGTTCCCTAGGATGACATTTCATGGCTGATGTCCAGTTGAGTCCCAACACTCTTCAGCATCAAGAATCCCCCCCCAAATACACACACACTGTGAGCCCTAGAAATTCCTTTGCGGTCTGGTCAGCATGAGATGACCAGTTATTACACCAAGTTGAGATCATTCCAGCCTAAAGCAAGGACCAACAGCAGGCAAGTGTGTGCCGTCCACTAGGCTTGACGTGACCGAAGGGGCCACACTGCTTCTCCTGGCGTTGGCTCCGTTCCTGCCAGAGCCTGGAGCCAACCCTGAAACCCAGGGCCTCGCAGAAGTAGGTGGGTGAGCTTACCCTTGAGCAGAAGTGTAGTCAGACAGTGATACCAGGCAGGGTGCCCGAGGAGGGCCCTGGCAGGGAACGACGACGCCTGGACTAGGTAGGCATCTCGCAGCATCTGTCAGACCCAGGCTTTCATTCAACCGGGTTTCTTTGTGGGGTGACCTGTTTGTTTGCTGAGGCCTGTGAGGGTAGGGGCAGAAAATGGACTAGAGGAAACATAAAACTGCCCCAGGACATCTGTACATGGTTGGCAGGTTGTAGGCAGTTAAGAACTGGTTTCAGATTTTTACACGGCCTCATCTTTTAAAATGTACGTTTTTGTTTTAAGGGCATGGTCAAGGTCTTCTCAGGCCGAAAACCCATGTTGTACAGCTTCCAGACGTCTCTGCCGCGTCTGCCGGTCCCAGCCGTGAAAGACACCATGAACAGGGTAGGTGCAGTGTCATATCGAGGGGACATGCCAGGCATCTGTAGGATTAAGGTTTACAACTTAATGATGATTGTCAGTTAATTTACTGTCATTTGGCTGTGTGAGCTCCCAGCAGTGTGCCTTGTAGGGCTGCTACAGGAAATGTTTGTTTTTTTCCCTAATGTGTCAGCACATCTTAGGTGTTTGTTTGTTTTTTAAGAAGGCATCATATTTGATAGAGAAACCACTTGGCAAAATTTTTGAGCAGCTTTATTGAGATATAATTCATATACCATACAACTCAAACGGTCCAATTCATTGGTTTTGCTGTATTACGTCACTAATTGTTTTAAGTGGTGGTAAACATACATAACATAAAAATGACCATTTTAACTATTTTAAACCATTCTGTCGCATTATGTACATCTACAATGTTGTAAAAATCCTTGACCTGGTGGCATGACCATCACTGCCCCCTGGCATTATTCTGGCTTTCCCTTCCTGTCCTGGGTCCTGAGCGCTGGGCTAAAATTTCCCCACACTTTGCGCTCCTCCCGTCTCCCCCCCGCAGTCTCATCAGCACATTGTAGCTTAGCCAAGAATGGAGCTCTCGTTAAGGCCAGATAATGGAGAAAAGTCACCACGGAAATTTCCTTGTGAACCAAACTAGGATCTTGTCCATCTAGAAGTCACTTTGTTGATTTTGTGGTGATGCAGGATCTGGGGAATTTGTGGGCCAATAAAGGACAAAAACATTTAATTGTTTAATTATCTCTAATCTAAAACGTCACGTAGCGTGGCAGTTTGCCAACTGGTGTGAGGACTGGCACAACCAATTTCTGGGAACATTTTCAAATCTGTTAAAGATGTTTACATTTTTTGTCAGGAAATGGTGTTTTTACTTGGCTCCTGTTTTTCTCATTAACCTCAGTACCTGGAATCGGTGAGACCTCTGATGAAGGAAGCTGACTTTAAGCGGATGACGGCTCTCGCAGAAGATTTTGCTGTCAACCTCGGGCCAAAATTACAGTGGTATTTGAAGTTGAAGTCCTGGTGGGCTACCAATTATGTAAGTATATACACACACTCTTTTTCCTGATGGAATTCTGTATATGAAAATATGAATGAGTTCCACGAGCCAGCCAGGCTCCCCCGTGCATGGCGGGCGAGGGGACATCTGACCAATGAAATGGGTGGGGGTGGGAGTTGGGGTTTTGTGGAATAGCTGTCGTGGAAGAGAAGGTGTTAAAACGGGAGACAGGGCTAGAGGTGAGCATTGTGGTGGGGTGGGCAGTGCCTGCAGGGACTGCAAGGGACCAGCAGAGGTGGGGAGCGGGGGAGGGGTCACGTTCTGTTGCTGGTCAGGTGCCAGTTACACAGGTGTGTTGAGTTGTTAAACATTTTCACATGTACACGTAGACTCTAACACGTGCTCCGTGTGTGTGTGTGCGCACTTCAACACAAAGTGAAAAAAAGAATTCATCCAGAGCTTGTGGGTGTGGTCAGGAAGAGATGGTTTTGGAGGGTAGCGGGACGTCATGCTGGGGAGTGATGACAACACACGTGGGTCCCGTGTTAGCACCCCGGCTCTGAAGGGATTGAGAGATGGCTGCTTTGGGGAGACCTGGCAAGCAAGGGCAGGAGAAGCAGTCTGTGGTGTAGTTTCGGGTAATAATAATGATGAAGACATGTCAACAAACAGCTGTCACTTATTTTCCATTTGGTCTTCTTTTTTAACCATCTCTAAAATGAAGGGGATCTACCTTCTAGCTACGTCATGACTTAAACTCAAAAGTCACTTTCCATTTCCCACGGTTTTGCATAAATGCACTCTCCGCGGGGCCCTGGGCGCCTGTGTCACTTGCTGAGCGTGTCTGTTTGCTCCGACAGGTGAGCGACTGGTGGGAGGAATACATCTACCTGCGAAGCCGGGGCCCGCTGATGGTGAACAGCAACTACTACGCCATGGTGAGCCAGTCCCCCGGGCCACGTGTCCGGTGGGGACCAAGCAGCGGGGCGGCGTATCTTTGTGGCCCTGCCGGTTGCCTGTGGAAGCTGGGTGTGTGTGGGGGGTTGGTCCATGCTGTCCACTGTCCAAGGCTCTACACCCCACCAGGGAGCCCAGCACCTGCCTCCCACACAGGAGAGCAGCATGGACGCCCTGTATTTGCCAAGTAGCTCAAGGGCACCGAGCTACTGTGGAGAAGTCGGGGTCGCGAACATGCCCTGGTGACAGGCAGGGAATCCTCACAGCGTTGTGTGCCTCTGCCGGCTTTCTTAGCTGAGCACTGTGTGACGGTGCCGTCGTGACGTGAAGGGCCCCGGGACCACGGGTTGGCTGAGAATCTGCCCACCCGCCCGTGTGCTGAACATGGTGCTGTGCTCTGAGACACCGGGGGTCACATGTTATGTGTCATTTCCTGTCTTTGGAGGCACTGAGGCTCTAGGAGAGCACACATCATTAATTGTGTTAGGAACCCCTCAGTTGGGTTCCGCGTTACTGGTCAGTAAGTGATGAGTTGAATTCTTTCAGCTTTCCTTTATTTCTGTTCTTCGTTCACTTTTATTTTTTTCCCCCTATTTCTCTTTCTTTCTTGTTTGGTTTTCTTTTCTGTTTTTCTCCTTTTAAAAATTTTCTTTTTCTTTTAATCCCGGCCCCCCCCCACCCCACCCCTCACCCCCCATCAGAAACAATCTCAAACTTACAGAAAAATTGTTGGTGTGGTGCATAGAACTTTTTTTGAGAGTAAGCTGTCCATCGGGTACCCTTTCATTCCTGAAAACTTGAGTGTCTCTTTCTTACATAGGCACCTCCTTACATAACGGGGGACGTATTCTCTCAGATTATAGTGTGGACCTGTGTCCCTCGGCCTTTTCTTCCAGTCATGGAAAACGACATTTAGAAAGAAATGGGTCTCAAAATTTAGAACGTTGCAGGCACTGCTCTATGTAAAAGGTTATTTTAACCTTTGGTTACTTCTCATTCAGAAAACTTCCTAACTGTCTAATTGCTCTTTTATTTCTGCTTTTTTGTGCACTATAGGAATATATTTGGGACAAAATACTATCTTTTAAAAACTTGAATTCTACTTATTGAAGAATTTCATTTTAAAAGATACCGTTACCTTTAATAGCCCAAGAATTCCTTGGGTGCTTGTGTTCTTAGAAACCGTAAGCAAAATAATACGGACAAAGTATAGGAAACGAAAGTACAACTTATTTTCTAGCAGAGCAGGCGTAAGTGAACACACGTGTGGCGCTATTTTAACAGTGCCGAAGTGCTCTGCTGTGGCTGTAAATCAGCTTGTCTTTTTCCTGAGCATCCTCCCTGCTGACACGTATATTCCCATTTCAGGATTTGCTCTACGTCTTACCGACTCACATTCAGGCAGCGAGAGCGGGCAACGCCATCCACGCCATCCTGCTGTATAGACGCAAACTGGACCGGGAGGAAATCAAACCAGTGAGCACAAACTGCTTTTTATAAAAATTCTTTTTTTCTTAAGATTTTATTGGGGAATTGGGG